ACTACAATTCGTATCTAGTTGAAGATATTACTCTCAAAAATTGAAAAAAAAATTCTAATTTATCAATTAAACAGTTAGTTATTACATCGTCTCCATAAAGACAATTAAAATCATTAATTTCTAATGTTTTCAAAATATTTATTAACGAATGAAGTTTGCTATAATAGGTTTCAACTACAAAATTAAATCATTTTACTTTGTAAATTAATAATTTTTTTACTCTATTTGTGTGTGCTACNTAATAATTTTATTACTCTGTTTGTGTGTGCTACTATTAGACTATAATATTCAAATTTTTTTCTAACGTGTTGCTATATAAATCATTTCTAAAAAAAATTATTGTTTTTTCTCCTGAATTAACAATTGATTTTTTCAAATATAATCAAATTTTATACTATGCTCAATTGAGTAAATCTTTTTAATAACTTTGTTTTGATTGGTTCATTTTGTTAAAGTAAATCATTAAAATTAATTAAGTTCTCAATATTTCAATTGTAGAATCTTTTCTACAAACAACAAAAGTTACTAGGAAATTATTACTATTACTTCTAACCCTTTACCTGCCCACAATAGGGATTCAAAATAATAACTTTTTTTTTTTAGTTAAAGTAAATCATTAAAATTAATTCAGTTCTGGATATTTCAATTGTAGAATCTTTTTAAATACCAAAAATTACTTAGAAATGATTACTATGATTTCTATTTAAGTGTTCTATTACGATAAAAATGCAAAAAATAATGAGTTTTTCTGATAAATTTACAATAAATAGTAATTATAAAACTTTCTGACTGCATATTAATCTTAAAAATAACATTGTTTTAATTCTCATAAAATTTTCTATTTAATGATTTATTCTAGTCAACGAAGGAGTAATTTTGAAGAATAGCAGAAAAAATTCCCAACCAACTTTTTTTTTTTTTGTTTTAATTAGGCAATTGGTGGATTATTCCAAAAGCAACATCAACTCTTATTTCTTTAATTATATCATGATTAGTAGTTCTTTGATTTTAAAATATAATATATGAATATATACTAATTATAATTATTAAATTTAGTATGAAATTGATATTTAATATTGTAATTTAAACGGAGAAATTATAAAAATAATAAAGAAGTTATATTTTGCTTTACTTTTACGTGTATAAAAATTTAAAGGGCTTGATACAATAATTTTCAATAAAAACTGTTTGTTACTATAAAAAAATGCACTGGACTACAAGGAACTTTCATCAGAAGCAAAAATATACTTTTCTAAATCAACTTTTCGCGTTGTTTTCAAATCTGCAAGTAGACTATTTCTATCACTTCTAATTTTTTATATTATTACTAATTATATATATAAAATAATAATTAAAAGAAAAAAAAATTTGTTTTCAAATTATTACTGATTTGATTTTTAATATGTTAAAAATAATCAGTCCAAATTTTCAATTTTAACCTATTTTTTTGGTTCTTTAAAGTTGATGAAAAATTTTTGATAAAGATTTATGAAAGTTTATAGTAAAAAAAATTGAATATATTACCATAACATTTAACTCAATTACAAGTTTAAAATTGACATCTAGGCCAGTCAACAAAGGACACAACAAATTGTGGAAAAATTTTCAAACAAATTTTGTTTTTTTAAAAGTTGAATTAAAATATGTATAATGACATACTAATAGTCCACAAGATTGGAATTGAGCTTTTTTTTTACAGCCTCGCAAAAGTTCAAAAATATGAGCTTTTTTAATTTTCTCAAAAAATATTTAACTTACAAAAAAAAGTTTCGTACAAAAGTTGTTTAAAAGACAATTATAAACAAAAAAAGTATCGTATATTTTTTCATTTAAACAAATATTTTTCGAGTTACATTACATTTAATATGAGTACTAAAATTTATATTCCATTTTTTTCATTTTACGGTTACTTTTTATCATGTTACACTTACGTTAGACACAATGTTATAAATGCATATGTGTGTATGTGTGAGTTTATTTATTTATTGTATCATTAAAGTGTAGTGTATATTAATATACAAGCGATAGAGTAGGTAATTGATTTGACGCTATATTATTTAAACCCAACTAAACGCTAAATTGTACATTCCGAAACTACAATCATATTATGTCAATTGCCACCGGAATTATTTTTCTTTTTCTTTGCCTTAATCCCAACTACTTGGGGTCGGCCATCCTTATCCTAAGCTTCCACTTGACACGATCTCCCACATCTTCTACGCTCAAATCAGCTGTCCTCAAATCGCATTCAATAGCATCCCTCCATCTCTTTTTTGGTCTTCCTCTATCTCTTCTTCCTTCAACATTCATTTCTATAACTGTTCTTACAGCTTTCGATTCTTCTTTCCTCATACCATGACTAAACAATCTAAGTCTATTTTCTGTCATCTTATCCACGATTGACGCAACACCTATACTTCCTCTTATATGCTCGTTCCTTATCCTATCTTCTCTAGTCACTCCACTCATCCAACTAAGCATTCTCATCTCTGCTACACTTATTCTCTGCTCTACTTTCTTATCAACCGCCCAACACTATGAACCATACATCATAGCTGGCCTCACAATTTCATACTAAATTTAAAAACTATAATTAGTATTTATTCATATATTATATTTTAAAATCAAAGAACTACTAATCAGGATATAATTAAAGAAATAAGAGTTCATGTTGCTTTTAAAATATTTCACCAATTTCTCTAAAGGAAACACTATCTACAGATTTGCATCGAAGCGTTTCTTATGATAGTGATTTTAATCACTGTCAGATATCATCTATACTTGTCCCATCTATGCCTCGTCCACACTGTGCCTCGACCCCACTGTGCTACCGTTTTTTTATTTTATATCATTGTGCATTAAACAAATTATCTGGTTAAAATTGACTCATTAAATTTCGGGAAACAATAAAAAGTATAATTCTCAACTCCTATTGTATAAAATCTCAAACACCACTTTTATGTCTATACGGATATAAGTAGAGAGCAGAATTATATGTAATTATAAATTTTGTTTAAACCTTTTTGAAGGGTCCCAAGTTTGTGCAACTTTTAGTCATGGGATTATAAAGTAGCGTAGAAATATTTTTTGTTTTAAGGAGGATTAACTCACTAATCATTCCCAAAACTTTAACACCGATAAAAGGTAGTACAAAATTTTCAAGTAATTAATAAACATTTATAAACGCAAAGAATTCTGCATTCTACATATAAGCCTCATAGTTATGTAAAGTAAATTTTAATCATTTTTATATTTTAGCTTCGATGCGAAGCTGAGAAGGTATTGGTTTTACTATGTTTTTTTTTTTTTGTGTCTGTTACCACTTTTTCTCAGCTCTCACCGAACGGATTTCTTTCAACGATACGCCAAAAGATCACAAATCGTATCTAGTCGAAGACATTACCCTTCAAAATTGAAAAAATTTCCCTCGTTCCCCGTAAATGGGGGAAACCTCCAAAAAAATTACAAATTTAAAAATCGCTAATTTTCGAAATTTTTTCAATTTTTATTACTAAAAACTGCCGTAACTTTTTCAAAAATGACCATGTCAATATAATTTTTTTTTTTATAGATGCTTGATGTCTTTACCTATCATTTGGTATATTTTTTTTGTAAATTTGACACTTAACCTGCCCACAGGGGGGGATTTAAAATGACAACTTTTTCACAAAAAATTAACTTTTTCAACTTAACTTTTGAAAATGTTCCGGAAGGTCTGACACTTTTATATATATCTTAAATTAAAGCTAATGTAATGTACTTTAATTTGAAAAAAAAAAAT